GTTGGAAATACCTTGAGGTGTTTCAGATCATAAGTTGGTGATACCAACTAAGATAGTTTCAATGGCTTCAAACTACAAGAAAGGAGATTCCATCTGAACATTAAGAAGAACTTCCTGACTGGGAGAGCTGTTCAGCAGTGTATCTCTCTGCCCCAGAGTGTGGTGGAGGCTCCTTTTATGGAGGCTTGAAGCAGAGGCGGGATGGCCATCTGTCTAGGGGGCTTTGAACGTGATTGCCCTGCTTCTTGGCAGAATGGGGTTGGACAGGATGGCCCACGAGGTCTCTTCCAACTCTGTGAGTCTATGATTCTATAATCCCATTCCATGCAGTGAATCTGCATCCGGTGGCAGAGTAGATGCAGCCACAGTCATGAACCCATTTCTATGTTGGGCTGGACCTACATTACCATATAACAATGCAGTTTCAGAATGCAGATTAACAGCGTTGAAGTGGATGATAGGCACTGGACCTACCCTGCCCGATATCCCAGGATCTGGTCCTAAATTGTCCGCTTTGGACGAGGTTACATGAGTCTGCACTGCCAGTTAATATGGGATAAGCAGGTGACCAGGGAAATGGACTATAGGGCAGGGCAGATCCAGCCAGAGTCTGCACTGTCATATAATCCACTTAGAATCCTAGAATCCTCGAGTTGGCAGACACCTGGTGGGCCATCACCCAGTCCAACCCCATTCTGCCAAGAAGCAGGACAATTGCATTCAAAGCACCCCCGAGAGATGGCCACCTAGCCTCTCCTTAAAAGCCTCCAAAGAAGGAGCCTCCACCACACTCCTAGTCTGGAATGCATTTGCCCCCTGGACACCAGCCTTGGCTTTGAGAACAAACACCCCCCCCCCCCCCCCCCCCCCCACCACCACCACCAATGCTCCATTACTATCGCCCTTTGCAGGGAAGGCGTGGGGCAACCCTATCTGTCCTCCCAGGTGCCCCCCCCCTCCATATCTGCCTGAAAGAGATAGGACTAAAGGAGGGAAGGAGGGGGCAAGTGAGAGAGGGGGACGAAAGGCAGACCGGGAGGAAATGCCTGCTGGGAAGAGCAGCAGGAGCCGAAGTGGCCACCAGACAGCTGGCCAACCGTGGCAAGTGACCCCTGAGTCTTGGACTCCATCTCCCAGAATGCCCCAGTACTGCAGGGGATTCTGGGACTTGGCCTCCTCGAAACCACCACCAAAGGCTGAGAATGCAAAACAGCCATATTAATTATTATTATTATTATTATTATTATTATTATTATTGACACAAAAACACAGTATGTCACAGCAAACGAGATC